GATATACAAATAAGCAAAGAAAAATTCCTGCCCCCAGAGCATTTATACTTCAGTTTATGTAAAATGTCAAATAGTAACTATTTTCAGTTTTGCAGGCAAATCTCTTTTCAACTTCTCAGCTCACCTGTAGTACAAAAGAAGCCCTTGGTGATATGTAAATGAATGGATATGGCTGTGTTCAAATAAAAATTTATTTATAAAATCAAGTAGTTGGTTGATTTTGGTTTAGTTGGTTACTGGTTGGCTTTAATTTGCTATCACTTTCTCTAGAAGTAACAGGACATATGTGTAGGTAGATACATAAAACTTTAATTCACGTTAAATATTTTTATTCTGTAGTAATATGATAGATCCCTACTATGAGCCATTCACTGGGCTAGGTTTTGGAACATACAAGGTGAAGAAGGCTGGACTTGCCTCAAAGGAAGCTCACCACAATCTAAGGAAAGAGACCCACATGCTCATTCATTTTTATGAAGCAGCTTGAAAAGGATGCAAGATGAAAGTCTATAGGTAGCACAGTAAAAACAAACGATTCTGACAGCTCAGAGGATGCAGGCATTTGGCTTTCTGAAAGATCCATTACTGGTAAGTGGCACAGGGAAAGCTGTGCTTGAGAAAGAGAATCTGAATGCCTTGGGTTGTGTGGATGCCAGGGGGAGAGGCAGGGGTCAGGGGACCACATAAGAGCCTGTGAGTGTATCTGGTTAGAAGGATCTGAGTTAATGTAGCAGCTGTTAAAAAAGGAAGAAAAAGACAGATTCTAGGGACACTGCAGAGGTGCCATCTGTGAGACTGATCTGCTAATTGGTTTATACTGTAGTGATACGGCAGGGCTGCCCTTTAACTCAGAGATAATGCCATGAACTTGCAGCCAGAACATGAGTTCAGTGTTGTTTATCTAACAGCAGTGACAGCAGAGGCCCTGAGTCATCAAACTGCATCTACCAGGTTGCCCCATGACCTCATGTTTCCTATATAATAAAAGGCTAATATACAAATCGACTGAAGTGGAATGACCAGTTGCTATGATGGGCACTGACCACCAGGGGGAAGACGCTCAACACAGGAGCTACTCCCTGATGGTCAGTGAGCTTCCACAGGGGTAGCACTGCTCAGCCAGCTCACAGCTGGAGAGCACAACCGTGGTGGTGGGAGCCTCTCCCACCTCTGCTGCAGGTGTACAGTAAGGAGTAAGGGGTCCAAGACTGCAAGAGCCCTGGACTGCGAGAGGGATTTCTGACTGCCGGCTTAGGCCCGGGCCTAAGCCAGCAGTCAGACATCCCCCAAGGTGTCTCGGACTGTGAGAGGAAGCAGGCCAGACTGAGGGACAGTCCCCCTAGTGCATGAATGTTGTGTCCCAGGCCTCTAGTTTATAAATAAAAGGCCAATGTTAGGAACAGCATAAACAAGTGAGAAACATCGATTGCCTGTGTATATGTGTAGGCTAGCCAGGTCATCACAGAAGCATCATTGATAGATAATGCCTCTTCTATATAAAATTCCATCTCACCTTTGATTCCAAGTCTAAGAAGGACCATCTCTTGGTCACAGCCTTGAAAATAAGTCCTTCTCTAGAAAGACCTAGTTCGAAGCTTACTAATCAGAGCCTGAGTTACAACTTATTCTTCCAGGAGTCTGGACAGCTGCTTGAGAGGTGTTAGGCAGAACTCCTTGGTACCCAAAATCTATACTGATTCAAGTAATGAAACCAACTACTCCTGCATTCATTTCTTCTAACATCCTCTGTTGGACACTGTAATGAGCAGTGAAAACATAGATGGGAAGGAAGGAAGGCAGCCCCCAGAAAGGCTGAGAACAAAGGTGGGCCGCTAGAAGGCATCACTGACTAATCACACCCTGACTCACTCAGACCTTATGGACTATCTTTCACATCTCAGTTGTTTTATAGAGCACTGTGGCTTACCAAGGCTCCTCCATCTTCCTGCTCCCTGTTCCCTAGCTGTTCTTCACAGTCTAGGAGACACCGAGAAAGGAGGGAATATGTGCTCCAATTCTAGCTCTACTGAGCAACTTACAACAGGTTAATTTCTCTCCTGAAATTTTCACTGCATGCTCATAGTCTCACAAAAGGGGCAGCACCATTCATCACCCTTACGCATTTTATTGGCAGCACCTCTGACTAAAATGAGAGAAACCACACATTAAACCAGAGGAGTATTCTTTTCTATAGTTGTGAACCAAGTAAGAAGTATGAAGGCAGAACCCCAAGAACAGCCCTCCCTAGCTTATGGTCTGATGTTCAGCAAGTATCCTAATCTCTGCAAGCATTTATATCTCAGCTCTAAGATGAGCATGGTGGATGAGAATATGGATATGGGCTGTGGGAGTGATAAAACTTTTTTCTAAGCTCTCAAGAGAGAAGGCATAGCTATATAGAAAAGGGTATGGGATTTGAATTCATGTTCTACCTACCAGATAAATGTGTGACCTCCTATGAGCCTCATTTCTTCTTCTGCATCATGAAAGAGTAACACCTCGGGGACTGTTTTGAGGATGCAGTGATGTAATATGTGGAGATGGTTTCATAAAAACTGTAAGGCAGTAGACAGATGTCAGTTACTATTGTTCCCAAAGAAGTATATGAAGAATCACTAGCCAAGTTCAGTTGTATCTGTGTTTTGAGGAAAGTACAGAAAGGACATAAAAAGGAGATAGACAACAGCACCAGATGCTGAGGAGGATTATGAAGATTATATTTATCTATGCCAGTAAATTAATTCTTAATGGAAAGCTCCTGAGGAGAGAAATTGGCTAGAGTGGAGAGCCCAAATGTAGCACTTTCCAAAGAGAAAGTCAATTTCCTCAGATCAAGTATGAACTTTGCCAGGCGTGGTTCATTGGATATTTGAGCCTCAAAGAGACTACAGTCTCAGCGTGAGGTTGTAGTTTGTCTCAAAAAAAAAAAAATCAACCTGTTTTCTGTCAGCAAGATATGCACTATGAAACTCCATGAAATGGAACTGCTATTGTTCAATGTTCTGCAGATACTTGAAC